TCTTCCGATCCCTGGAATAGATATGCAAAGCCTTGCATCGTTCACCATTGCGACAGTTGCCTTTCTTCCAGGCGGCGCATGCATTGATTTGAGAACGAGTCTCGTGTACGTACCGTAACTTATTCTGATTCTTCTCCACTCGTTTCAGCTCCAGTACGTCCAGGACGCGCTGTCGGAGCCAATCGCAGGTACGATTCGGGCCGCTGATCTTCATGCGCTGGTACTCATACATGTCTTGTTTCATCCAGGCGTGTCTGCGAATCTGCGTGCGAAACAGAGATTCCAAGATCTTTGGATCGGGTGCCTCTCGGCACTCCAATAGTAAAGCGTCCCAGTCAGTAATGAAACGTTGCAAATCTTCATCTCTCATCCTCAGTTCTTTAAGGCGCTCAGAGTCGTGCAGGTCGTCATCAACCTCTGTCACTTTGTAGGACTGTAGGATGTGCCAGTAGATCTGGCGTCCTTTGAGCATACGTCCTGATTTGTGCTCTCTGGTTTCGATGAGCCTGATTTGGTAACGCAAGTCTGAGGATAAGATGTCGCTGAGAGCGGTAGCGGGTTTGCAATCGATGCTCTCGAAGTCTCCACTGTCTTGTAAGTCCTCGAAGGTACTCTCGGGCTGTTCAGCCACGCATAGGAAGGCATATGCTTTGGACGGTCGCCCTGAGGCGGCCCCAAAGTTCTTCCGTACCTTTTGCTGCCATTCGAGCAGCTGCGTGATCTTAGGCAAGACAGGGACTCGGACGGTGTCTGACTCCTTGATAGGAGTAGTAGTATTGGCCGAAACCGCAGACAATGGTTGTGAGGGTATCGGTGCACCGTCAGTAGTTGGTTATGTGCGTACAGGAGACACATGGCGTGTCTGTGCTGAAGCTGCCGCGGAGGCTGCTCCTGGTGACGTACGTCGTTGTTGTCCTGCAGAAGCTCGTGGTGCTTCGGCGGACGCTGCCGTCGGCCTGTGCAGGTCGGTTGCAGGTTGAAGGTGAAGCATGGTGTCGTTGGTGTGGTCAATCAGCTGATTTGTCCAGCTCGTCATGTCTTCGTGTATCTGGTCCACCTTTTGGCGTGTGTACTCATCAGTATCCCGAGAACGTCGTGACTACCGATCGAGTCGCTGCTCGTAGGCTCGGAGACGGGCGCCTTGCGCCTCCAGCTCACTTTCCAGACGTGCGAGGCGCCTCTCAACACGTACCTTCTCAGTATCTCTCTCACGAATAACCTGGGAGAGCTCTAACTGCGTGTGGTCCGCCGCCTTCTCAACCTCCTGCAACCTGTCAGTGAGGCGGGCGAAATCGTAAACCGTGGGAGGGGAATCCAGCCGGCCAGTCTGGGCTCGTCCGACACGCAACTCTGCCAGGGCGCCCTGTACGCCAGGAAAACGCTGCTCGATTTCAGAGATCCGGTTAGCGAGTGGCTGCACGACAGCGTTGGTCGCATCAAGCCTTTGAGCGATGACTCTCTCAGTACGTTGCAACATGTCGATCAGGTTCGACGAGTTGGCGTGTGCTTCGGCGCGAAGCGTCGCCGTAGTGTGGTCCATGTGGGATCGAAGATAGTTGATATGAGACTGAACGTCGCCAAGGTCGGTGGCCTCGGCTGGTGGTGGTCGGTTGCGGAGCTGGTCATGGATCTCGTCGTGGGGGATCCTGACTGCTGAAACGCCAGTGTCGCGTACGAGCACAAGCTGTTGCTCCATCTGCGCGAGATAGTCGCGCAGGTTCTCGACCATCGCCGTTCGTTCACCTGAGTGTGACACCTCACGATCAACCTGGCACTGCAGCTCACCTATGATGCGTCGATCTTCGGCGATCCTGGAATCGATGATCCCTAAGGCGCCGTCAAGATCTTGGCGTACGGAAGCAGTGTTGGCAGCGTTCGTCTGAACGCTCTGCAGTTGTCCAGAGCACTGCCTGGACGCGAAGGTTTCAACCTGGTCTCTGAGCTCAGCTATTTCGCCTGCAGCGGACGTTGCCGCCGGCAGGTCGTCTGAGATGGAGAGGTGGGGGGCGTCAGCTTCCCTCTGCACTCTCTCGCGAGGAGTGCATGGCCTCTGCGAGGCAGCACGCGGGCTCGACCTACTTTCGCCGCATGGGCCTGGGGCCTCACGACGGTTGCGCGAGGACGAGCTGCGGCTAGGACCATGTGTGTGGTGTCGCATGAGATGATACCTCGGGGTACTGCGTCTGCGGCTGTGCCGCCACTGGTCTACCGAGTTCCTCGAAGGTGGCTACGTGCTCCGCGACAGGAGCGGTCGCAGGGCTGGGGGTGCCAGCACCTGAAGTCCATCGGCGGTTAGCGCGAAAGCGCCCTGGAGTATCGGGACCACTAAGGCTTTCGCCCGACGCAGTTGGGATTGCTCCCGACGGAGGAGGAGATGGAGGATCGAAGGTAGGCGTGTGGAACTCCTTACTACCTGCTCCTACTCCTTCTCCTGTCCCCCCGCAGGCGGCGTGGCGGTGAAGTTCAGCAGCTAGCCGCGCCTCGGGTCCGTCGGAGCTGGGGGGGGGGTACCTGGGACACCTACACAGTCCGCACTAAGGCTCTCCAGCTCGTCACCGAGCCGTCGCGCCGTCGGAGAGCTCGGACGCGAGGCCCCGATGGACCCCTTACGGCGCATGCGCCGCTTGGGTTCCACCGAGGCCGCGTGCGAGATCGCGACGCGGGGTTCGATGAACAGTGAGCTTTAAAGGGCTGATAACCTGTGTATGGGGTTGAAGTACAAGGGTACAGAACCCCTGATCCGCTGGTAGAGGGAAGCGGGAAAGATGGATATCTTCTCCTCCTGCACGATCAAAGGTCTGATCGATCTATCCCACTACCTGAGCCCAAACGGCCAGGCGCAGGAGAGGTGAGGATAAGGAGTATATATGAGGGTATTACATGGAATTTACAGCCCCGGGCGCCCCGACCCGGTCCGCCGTTATATGTGTACATACATACATACATACATACATACATACATACATGCATACATACATACATGCATGCATGCATACATGCATGCATACATACATACATATACAGCTCCTGAGTTCAGGATGGGCCGCGCAGGGGGCAGTGGATGTGTATGCACCTCGTCGCCCTGATGCGTCGAGAATCCGCCGACCCTCTGGCGCGTGTGAGACGCTGTCGTCGTCTTCGTCGCCGTCGTCGTGGTCGTCGCCTCTCCCAAAAGAAACGTCGGAATTAAGTCGATCCTCCCTCCTTTGTCCCCTCCCTGATTGGGAGGGGGGCCGCGCGGGGGGTGGGGGGCGCGGGGACATGGGACAACTTGCAATAAACAAAAAGCGACTCCAACCACTTCAGTAGTAGTATTACCCCAGTGCGACCCTACCTAAAAGTTGGAGCCCCTAGGAAAGCAGCATTAGGTTCTATGCTATGCTATGCTATGCCATGCCATGCTATGCTGCGTTATGCTATGCTATGCTATGCTATGGTATGCTATGCTATGCTATGCTGTGACATGCTAAGCGATGCTGTGTCATGCTGCGCTGTGCCATGCTAAGCTATGCTATGCTATGCTATGCTAAGCTGCGCTGTGCTATGCTATGCTATGCTATGCTGCGCTATGCTATGCTATGCTATGCTTGGCTATGTTATACTATGTTCATGCAGCGCTATGCTAAGCTAAGCTAAGCTAACCCTCTAGGCAGGGCCTAGGTAGGGAATTACACCCATGCTATGCTGCGCTATGCTATGCTATGATGGGTTATGCTATGATAGGTTGTGCTGCGCTATGCTATGCTACGCTGTGCTATGCTATGCTGTGCTCTGCTAAAGCTCAGCGAAGCTAAGATGAAGGTAAGCTAAGCTAAGAAAAGCACTGCTTGCGGGGGGCTCTGGTCCGGCCATCGAGGCTAGCTCGGCATCTGTCGCACATTGCGTTTCCTTTGCCTGTCCGTTGCTTTGCTTTTGCTTTTGCTTTGCTTTGCGCTGCTATGCTTTGCTTTGCTGTCGCTGTTCTTGCTTTGCCTTTGCTTTGCTTCTGTGCTATGCTCTGCTATGCTATGCTATGCTGCGCTGTGCTATGCTGTGCTGTGCTGTGCTGCGCTATGCTATGCTATGATATGCTATGCTATGATGTGCTGCGCTATGCTATGCTATGCTGGGCCATGCTATGATATGCTGTGCTGCGCTATGCTATGCTACGCTATGCTATGCTGTGCTCTGCTATGCTAAAGCTCAGCGAAGCTAAGATGAAGGTAAGCTAAGCTAAGATAAAACTGAGCTAAGATGAAGCGAAGCTAAGCTAAGATGTAATAAGCTATGCTAGGATGAGTTAAGCAACGCTAAGCTAAGGGGACGTAACTGGGGGAACCGCGGGGCGGATCCTGGGGGAACCGCCGGGGGCGTTTTCAACTGCACGGCCCTTTAAGCCCATAGAATAAGAACCCTTCTAGGCAGAGCCTAGGTAGGGAACAAACCACTTTGATACTAGCTCCAACCACTTTAATACAAATTCCAACCATCCTCTATGAGAAGCCCCACAGGCGTCTTAGAGGCGTCGTACTCCAGATTTCGCTTGGCGCTGGCCAGGTTCCGTCTGGTTCGCGGGGAGTCTCTCCCCCTGCTCGCCGGATGCGAGGAAGCTTGATCCATTTTCTGATTCACCTGTTTCACCTCCTCCTCCTCCTGCCCCACCTCTTTCTCCTCCTCCTCGATGGCCTCACGACGCCCCCCTGGATGCCAAAATGGCAAAAGAAATGCCATATAGAGCCCCAAGACGGCCCACGAAGTCCTCAAGGCGGCCAAGGAGGGACAAGACTGCGTGACCTCCATGAGAGCTCCTCAAGAAATGAGGACGTCACATGTGACGGGCTTCGGTGCTTAACGGGCTGGGCTGGAACGGTGGGGGGATTCACCGCAGGCACAATGATTTGGCCGTCCATTCAAGCAAGACACCTGGATGTCCAAACTCGCTAACAACGTACCATGAAGAGTAGTTAAGCCTTCCTCCGATGCTTCGAGAGGCACAAACAAAGGAAGCAACGTAGCCCAACCTTGTGCTTGGTGTAGAACCTGCGGGCGCAAGAACCGTCCCTGCTAAGAAAAGGGGCCGCAGCGCTGCCTCCACTTCTCCTCCTCTCACCACCCCCTCTTCCTCTACATCGTCCTCCGTCTCTTTCTCTTCCTCCCCCTCCTCCTTCTCATCCTCAACCCCTCTTCCTTAAAATCCCTTCCTCTATTTCGCACCACCAAGCGTGTGTAGGGCGAGCTGGGCGATTAGTCCGAACCTTCCTCGCCGCCTTATGAGCACGAATGATGCTGCGGTTGGCGTTGACAAACATAGCGTGCAACATCGATCTCCGAAGCGCATGCTATCCCCGTGAGGCCCCCGCACGGGCGCCTTCTGTGTACGCTATCCCCCTGCCGCGGCTTCTTCGGTGCAGAGAGAGAGAGGGACAGAGAGAGAGAAACTGGGGGACAGGGAAAGATAGATAGAGAGAGAGAGAGAGAAAGAGGAACAAAACACCAGAAAACGACAGAGAGAGACACAGACAGAGAGGGAGGAGCGTCACTCCCGCAGGGCGGGCAGGGCAGGCGGAGGCCGAGGCTCGCGACGGCCACACTCCTCAGTCACTCGGCGGGGCGCAGCGTGCTCGATGGAGACGAGGTGGGAACCAACCCCCGATCGAAAATATCAAAAGACGACGCCCTGCGCCATCAAATGATGTCAGCAATAACATGGACAGGGGCCGGTCCGATTAACTCGCTGGACAATTTCGTATACCGTCTAAACCGTACCTTCTCCGAGTCCTTGCAGACTGACTCGAGGCAATACCTTTTTCAAAAACTGTGCCTTCGCCTGTGCGCTCGCTTTTTTTCCAAGGGTGTTTCTCCCGTGGTGCGCAAGACTACATGTAGGATGTAAAGAGTTATGGAATGGGGATGTGATGCGGGAGGGTGTGATGCAGCATTGCTAACGCATCCTGAGTTTACCCTGGTCGTCCTGTTCCTCCTCCCCCTCTTTCTCCCCCAGTTCCCTCCCACCGTAGAAGGGCAGGGGATGTGGAGGGAAACTGGGGGCTGGCGGATGAAGAAGGCATTTGTTGTCCTGTGTATGCTTCGAACCACATTCACTGAGCCATGACGGTTATGGAACCCGCATGCTCCGAAGTGATGTACACATCGTTTGTGGCCCGTGGGAAAATCGGAACTCCCTAAGGCCATCCCCGCTGCGTATCATGGCGCAGAATCCAGCAAGCGCGGAGCGACCCATATTTGTCCACAACATCAACGGTCTTGCCATCCTTGAACGATCATGACGTCCGACTGGCTTGCTAATCTAGCCTGACAAACTCGGGGGGGGGGGGGGGGGCAACGTCTGCTGCGTGTGCAATGCGTGAATCTCGCAGAAGAGGTGTCGCGGAGCGCGGCGCCAGGCCTTCGACGGGGCGGGCCTGGCCGACTTCGGGCCGCCGCACTCGCCGAGGCACGCAGGCGTGGCGGCCTACGAGAGACTGATACAGAAGCGGGGGCACGCAACGAAAATGATACGAATTACTGGCCTCAGAAGCGGAAGGAGGACGAAGCGAGAGGGAAGGAAAGGAGGAAGGGGGACGAGGAGGGAAATGACCGCTGCGTACAACGCGCGGCGAAACCTCACTGGGCGAGGGCGCGGCCGCGGGGTGTGAGCCACCCGGCCCCGCCGTTAGGCGCGCGCGCGCCCGCGCCTTAAAACGAGGACAGGGGGAGTACGGGGAGGAGGAAGGAAGAGGAGGAGGAGGAGGAGGAGGAGGAGGGGAGGGGGCACGTGCGTGCGCTGGCCAAACTTAACGGCCAGACAAGACATCCGAAAGGGCCCGGCCGATGCAGACAAATAGCGGGCACTAGCCCCGGACACGATGCAGGAGGAGAGAGGAGGGAGGAGGAGGAGGAGGAGGAGGAGGAGGAGGAGGAGGGAGGAGGAGGAGGGAGAGGGAGGGAGGAGGAGGAGGAGGAGGAGGAGGAGGAGGACGAGACAGACGCGGACGCGCGTGAAACCAAACGTGGGCGCGGCACGCTTAGTCACCATGACCGTTGTGTGGTACCCGTGTGGCCCTGCCGGCCACGCATCAAAATCCAGCACAACCAGAGGTCGTATTAAGGAGGAGGAGGAGGAGGAGGAGGAGGAGGAGGAGGAGGAGGAGGGGGGGGAAGAAAACTGGCGACAACGCCGCCGCCGGAGACTGCGCGCGGCCTCCAGGCCCACGGAAGGAAGGAGAGCGGCAAGCAGGCAGGCAGGCAGGCAAGCAGGCAGGCAGGCAAATCGGTGTCATCTCTCCATGCATTTGGAGCGGGCGAGGCCATGAAAATAATCGCGCAAGTTCACTGTTTCTGACCACGACAACTCATGAAACCATCATCATGTCCGTAGATTGCCAGCCAACACCAAATAACGACGCTGGAACGGTCGGGTGGCGTCCCAACTCGGTTCAGCCAGAGGCTGGGACCTCCGCGGCCCTGTCATAAGCGTGATCTCGACCAGAGGTCGTCCAGATGTCGACCACCCGTCCTCACCCTTTCGTCCAGACTTCGTCCAAGTTTCGTTCATGTGAGCGATGCAAAAAACGGAGTCATCTTCGCCGACAGTGGCGCGTAAGCTGCCCGCGTAAGCTTGCGCGTAAGCGCCCTCGTCTCCAATGTAGCGTGCCCCGCTGGAGGCCCGCGTAAGCCGGCGCGTAAGGTCGCTATGACACCACGCGTAAGACCCGTCTTTTTTCGTCGCTCAAATGTCGACTGGCCCCGACGAATCCGGACGAAATCCCAAAATCCGCAAGGTATCCTGGGACCCTCTGAGGCTCCCACGAAGGACCACACGACAGAGGAGTTCGGAAAGTGGGTCGGCTGACCCCCGCTAGCGCGGACCCGCGTTGCGAGAGCCCCGACGTCAGGCAGCGCATTGTGTCCCGCTGGTTTGGCGGCGAGCGAGGGGGGGAAGTAAGAAGAAGAAGGCCTTCTCAGAAGGCTCCGAAGTCCCCCAGCTTTCGGAGAAGCTAAGCCTTCCCCGAAGACGAACAAGAACTTCTGTCGTCGCGAGGACTTCTGAGAAGTCCCGCCGCCTTCTGAGAAGGCCTTCTCCTTCCCATTTCCTCCCCTCGCTCGCCTCCGTCTGGTGGCGGGCGGCAGCTTCTGCCGCTGGACCCTCCTCCGTGGCCCTCGTCCACGCCCAGCCGCGATACCACGCCACGCCCGCCCCCACCCCTCACTTCTACTCTGGGTGGGATATTACTCGAGGGGTGGGCGACAAACCTTCCGACGGAGCTTACTCATCCGACCTCACCCTCTCCTCCACCTCCTCCTCCCTCCTCCTCCTCCTCCCCCTCCTCCTCCTCCTCCGTCTCTGCAGCCCCGCCTCGCGTCGGGAGAATGGCCTCCGTGGTCCCATGTCGGATCTGCTCATCTGGAGCCAGGCTGGCTCCCAGCTCGCCCAACACCTGTGAGTGAGGCAGAGGTCCGCCGAGAAGGTGTCAGGCCTGAAAGGGCGGCCCCCAGAGAGCAGGCCCCCCCCAGAACGAAGAAACTGCTGGGTGCTGCGTGTTGCACAACAAACCCAACCCTTGAACGTCGATCTCCGAACCTCGTGCCGAAGAGGAGAGTCCCGCCGCCGGTGGCGGGAGGCGGCCTCTGCTGGTTGACTCTTATCCGCTCCTCCTTCTCCTTGCTGCTGTAAGTCGAACCCTGCGCCCCGGGTCCCGCCGTCGCCGCCGTCGTCGAAGACGCAGTCGCAGAAGCTGCCGCCGCTGTCGTTGTCGCCGTCGCCGCCGTCGCAGCCTCAGCCACCGTGCGGCGATGCTCGCAGGTCCTGGAAGGTTCGAAAGGCTTACGACGACGCAGATCAATCGAGCATCGAAGTTCATGGACGCTCTCGGACAGTGGCGGATCTCCCGAGGCTTCTGGAGACCTCCGAAGGCCCCTGGGAGCCGTACGGTGTCCCATGGAGACCAACATTCGCTTGAATCGCCGCCTTCGGCGTCGCCGCCCGTCGCCAGCCGACGATTTTCCACAACATTCGAAACAAATTCAAGCATTCAGAGGTTCTCGGAGACATGTTCTTTCGCAGGTTTTCGGAGGTTCCCGGAGGCGCTCTGAGATCGTCGTTCACGGCGGCGTCGTTCGCCGTTCGCAGCTCGACGTTCGTGAATCGTCGTCGTCGTCGTCGTCATCGCTTTCGTCGTCGTCACTTTCGTCGTCGTCCTCGTCGTTCCCATTCCCCTCCTCCTCCTCCTCGCCGCCGCCGTCGTTGAGAGCGCCAACGTCGACGTTAGCGGCGTCCCCTGCGGGAGGCGGGGCCCCCTGGCTCAAAGAGGCTCTTTCCTTGAGCAGGGATAGACCGTCCCAGCATTCCTGTAGGCCTACCGCGAAAGTTTCGTAGAACACACAAATGTTCTAAGAACAAAAACAAGGTTCTTAGAACACAAGCCCGATGTGATAAAACAAAACAGATTCCGCCAGAACTGTTCTAAGAACAGGTCGCGGAAACCACAAAAGTGTTTAGGACATTGTTTGGTAGGGCTATAAGCGAGCCAAGACGCTTCGCCACTGCTTGAGCATCTGCGCCCGCGCGTGCGAGGCCCCGCCAGCGCCTCCCGCCAGGGCGCCGGCCGGGCAGGCAGCCCAGGGCTGGCACATCGGCCGAACAAAGCAGCGGGCCAACGGCCCCGACGCCTCCCCTTAGCTGCGAGACCTGGAGAAGTTTGGATTGGCGCCTCGGCGAGGCGAATGCTGGGTCACGGCGTTGGCGTGCCCGGGGCGGCCGCCTGATTGCCCCGGGGCCTCTCTCAACGTAGGAGGGGGGGGGGCGAGGGGACGAGGAGGAGGGAGGGCTCACAACTGAGGAGTAGGAATAGCAGGAGGAAGAGAAGGATGAAAAAGAGAAGGAGGAGGAGGAACAAAAACTATGAAAACGGATGCTGCGTTCGCGAAGGAAAATCAACACGGGTAGCACGCGACTAGCACGGGCACGTAGTCTGGACAGACTACGCGCCCCCGAACGAAAAACGGCGGCGGAGTGCCCAACAACTTCTCTCCCACTTAGTGTATCGATGCTGTGGGCACAATGGAAAAGGCAAGGAAGCAGGCACAAAAGGCAACGGAACCGTTCGAGTTTGGTGTTCGAGCGAGTCCGTTGTGCCTCGCCGGCAGCCCAGGTGCAAACCGCCTGGACCGCCTGCGACGGACAGCAACGCCATGGACGAAACCATTGCTGGTAGCGGGATAAGTGGCTGAAGTCGGCATGCTCCGAGAGTTGCAGGACGTCGCGCCACCACAAAGCACCTTGTCCCCCCTAGCTGCCAAGCGCGAAAAAACTGTTTACGGCACGCGAAACGGGGCGGCAACTACTCCCAGCAGGGCTCCCCAGGCAAGCCGGAGAAGACTGACGCGTCCCGCCACTGCACATGCAACAAGAGCCAAGGCTGTTCAGGGACCTTCTACTGACCAGCTAGTTCCCTCAGTAAAATGTGTCAGGGAAACGGAGAGGGCTGACAATTTGAGGAGCACAGTAGGGCAAGTGATGCGCTGCGCGCCAGAAGTCTGATGCCCCTCGCATGCATGACTCGCGAAATCGAATATGCGAACGTAAGTCACCATATACGGGCGTTCTCTCATGTGCCCTGCTACGTCTCATTCGCGAGCATAATTCAGGACGCGCGGCTATCCGCTGCCTCCCCCCGTCGAATTCGCGAAGGCTGTTCGCGACATGCGACGACATTATCTCCTGCAGCCGACATGCATGCAATGAAAATTCCGGGCGGTCATCCCGTCGGCACGGTCTCCTCGCACCACCCGTCGCAGAGTCTCACTGCGGCGCGCTCGCACTTGATATTCCCGTACAACGCGTCCAAGATCAGTTCCTGGCCGACGCCCCCCTTCGTCGTCGCGTCGGCCCTCATATCGTGTGCATCGCACCAGGGCGCGCCAACCATCTACTTGGTGTGGAGCTGGTCGGAGGGCCACCTCGGGTGGCCTGCCATGCTGCCCTTTGAAAATGGACGCACGGAGACCGCGGCAATGGCCGAGAAAAAGGACGTCGCGACCACGACCAGGGTTGCCGGTAAGGCATAGCCCCCCTCCCCTCTCAGCTCCCCGATCTCCTCGGCTGAACTCGGCCCTGAGCATCTCGCGGAGCGCGCAGCAGGCCTGCGACCCATCGGCTGCGACGCGCGCCGCCAGCACCCCGAGCCAGACGAAGACGTGCACGCAAGTTTGCGCGAGCGGCCCGTGGCCCATGGCGTCGAGCAGATGGCAGCTCTCCTTCACGCACGTAGATAGGAGGCGCCCCTCGCGCCGCCCCCACCGCCCCCCCCCCCCCCCCCGGCGCGTTAAGGCCCCGACGCTGCGCGCGCAGATCCGGCCGGCGCATTCCGCGACGGGGGGGGCGACGCGCGCCGCGATCTGCCGCGCGGCGAGGAAACGAACATTGACCTGCATGGCGCGCCGCACGAGCAGCGCCGCAGCGCGCGCTGCGACGCGACCCCCGGCGAGCAGGGGGTTCGCAGGGGCCCCCACCCAGAGCGCGAAGAAATCAGGTTGTCAACCTCCGGAGGGCTCGTCGACCTTCGCATTGACCAGGTCGACGTGCCTGCGCGGCGTCAGAGCGTCGATGCGCTCGTCCTGGTCGAGCGCCACGGCGCCGTCGGCGCTGCGCTGCCGGTGGAAGCCGCATTTGGTGAAGTCGTCGTAGTCGCCCATCAACCTGCCGAAAGCATTCTCGACGCGGCCGGAAGCGTTCTCGACGTGCTCCATTTGTCCAGCGATCTCCAGATCATCGACTCGCTTGGACACCGCGAGCATTTGAGGCGCCAGCAACACACATGCTGGACGTCTCATGCCTCACGTCTCATGTTCGTTCTCGAGCTCCAGATCCCATTTGACGGGCTGCGCGCTGCACCCCCATGAGAGCGCGGCCCAGGCGAACTACGCATAGGAAGCCCAGGGCGCACCCTTGCCGCCCGCGCCCTGGCCTGACGCCGCGCAGGCACTCGGTCCTCTCGTCGAGGGACTCATAGCCGAGCACCTGCTTGAGATTGGCTGCACTGCTGGGCGGCAAGGTGAAATTGTTCCTGCATCTCGGCATACGTCGCGCCCTGCAGAAAAGGCTTCTCGACGTCCACGGCGACGTAGACCCAGTCTGGGCGGCGCGCCGCCTCCGAGGACAGCATTCGCTGCGAGGAGCATCTGGCTGTCCGCGCAAACGCATCCAAGGCGCCGGCGACCATGTCAGGGAAGACTCTGAGTCTGAGCGCCCCGCGAGGTCTTGACGATTCGAGCGCTCTTGAGCGGTCGCCGTTCGGAACATCTGTATTTGACCCAGATGGTGTGTTCCTCAAGGATGGCTGCGGACACCCCCTTGGGCAGCGTGGACACATGGTCCTGGCTCAGGAGGGCGGCGTCGCGCTCGGCGACTGCGGTCTTGACGGCGGCGTGCACGTCATTCGGGGAGACGGAAAACGCGGTCTCGGGGAACTAAGTTTGTCCTGACGGGGCCATGGAGAAAATGACGAGACCCAGTCTGAAATTTGGCGCGAGCTCCCGCTGCAGACATCCCACGAAAACTGGACCGTCAAAATCCAGGATGCGCTCGTCAAGAAACGTCGACAGGCCCGAGTCCCAGCGCAATCGAGTCCTACGTTTCCCCGAGATAAGCACGGTTATCCAGGAATCGCGGGCGACAAAGTTGCTGGGCGCTTCCCCCTTGAAGTTCAGGAGTGCTTCGCGCCCCCTGGGTCGAGGTACAACTCCACACGGTTTCCTCGTTCTCGTTCCTCCTCCTCTGGCGTGGCGTAGTCATCCAGGGCGGCGCCGCGCAGGTTGTAGTGACACTGCGTGTAAATGAGTTGACGCTGGTTCTGCGTATCGACGTGCTGGGGCCACTCGCATGGCTGGCGGCCAATACCGGCCGCGGCGTGCTCGATAGCAGCATGCCTGGACCGCGTCGCCCAGGTGTAAGGGGCAAGGGCCCTCTACCTGCTCAGAGAAATCCCTCAGAGGCGTCTCCGAGACCCACGGGAGCTCTCGCGTACACGCAGGCGTAGGGGTCCCAGCACGTTGGCCTCGGGGCCGATTGGGGGGTTCACCGAGTTTGATGGAGGTTTGCGCCTGCCCAGCGGTGGCAGGGTACCCTACCCGGCGGGTGGCAGGTGCGAGCGTGGCACGTGCCAGTGCCACGCTCGCACCGTGGAGGTCGGCCAAGTCCACTCTCGCCAACGGCGTCCGTCCTCCCAGCCGACCTGTAGCATTGGCAGGCGACCGTGGGTCGCGGCTGCAGGGCGAAGTTGTGAAGAGGCGACTGCAATATCTAAAGGTGAATGTCCGGATTGTAGTGGTTGCCTGCTGTTGCCGTGCGGCCGGTCCTTGCCAGTCCATCTTCCTCCTCCTCCTCCTCCTCCTCCTCGTCCTGCTCCTCCTTCACCCTCCTCCTCCTCCTGCTCCTCCTCCTCCTCCTCGTCCTCCTCCTCTTCATCCTCCTACTCTTCCCCTCTTCCTCCTCCACCTCATCGTCCTCCTACTTACATCTTTCTCGCTTGAGAAAAATTCTCCCCGTCGCACCCCGAGGCCAATTTTTAGAGCGGGCTGGGCGTTTCGCCCGAGACTTCCTCACCGCTTATGACACTGAAGTTCCAGAACTGACAGCAGTTTCACTGATGGAGGGCGGGTCGTTTTCAAAATGCGGTTGTCGCCCCAACGCCGCGCACATCCTTTCTAAACATGCGCAAGCGTTTCACATGTTGAGGGCGGGTCGATTTCAAAATGTGGTTCTCGCCTGAGCGCCGCGCGCATTCGCTTTAAACATTGCAGAAGTATAACGGATTGAACACGGGTGGTTTTCAAAATGTAGCTCTCGCTGTAGCGCCACGCACATTCGCTTTGAAAATGTGCAAGAGCTTCACGAATGGAGGGCGGGGGCTCTCGCCTGAGCGCCGCGCACATTCGTTGTAACAAATTGCAGGAGCTTCACAGATGGAGGGCGGTTCGCTTTCAAAATGTCGCTCTCGCCTTAGCGTTTTCTGTAATGCGCAAGAAAATTGTAAGAGTTTTACGGGTTCCCATGATCAGCGTACCAGGAATGGCGCTTTGGAAAGACGCAGGACTGAGGGCGCAACAGTCACGTTGATTCACGGTGTTGCAGTCCCCGGAGTGGCGTTCTGGCACGATTCAAGATCGTCAAGACGCAACAGTCAGGTTGACCCGTGGCGTTGGAATCCCGTGAACAATGTTTTGGCATGCTTCAAGGTCTTCAAACGGTCGTCTTCCAACGAGGCAGTTCTCTCAGTGGAAATGAACCGTTGTAGAGACCTCTGAAGAGGGATCTTGGAGGGAGGGTTTATTCTAACATCGTTTATGACTCTGGGGGTTCCACTGGTCCTCCTCCTCATCCTCCTCCTCCTCTTCCTGCGGCGGCTGAGAAGCGCTGTCCATGTGCACTTTGGTTGTTTGCCGGCACAATCCCCCAATGCCAGGACCTGGCCCCCCAGGAGCCGCCGCTGCCCAGCGCTGGGCAAGAGCGCCCGGCAACCAACCAGCGGCCGCCCCAGGGGGGGAGGAGTTGCGCCAACTGTGGTCTCCGCCTCCTCCTTCTCCTTCCTCCTCCTCTTTCTCCTCCTTTATTTCCAGACCAACCTGAGCGTGAAGCTGTGGCAGAAATTACCTCATCCTCCTCCCCCTCCCCCTCCTCCTCCTCCTCCTCCTCCTCTCCTCCTCTCCTCCTCCTCCTCCTCCCTTTCTCCCCTTCCTTCCTTCCCCCTCCTCCTCCTCCTCCTCCTCCTCTTTCCTTTCTCCGCCTCCTTCCCCCTCCTCCTCCTCCTCCTCCTCCGCCTCCTTCCCCTCCTCCTCCTCCTCCTCCTCCTCCTCCTCCTCCCTCCTGCTCCTCCTCCTCCTGCTCCTGCTCCTGCTCCTGCTCCTGCTCCTGCTCCTGCTCCTCCTCCTCCTCCTCCTCCTCCTCCTGCTCCTCCCCTCCCACTCTTGCTTCGAGGCTCAAGCTGCCTCCCCCCCCGCCTCCGCGTGCACCACCACGGCCAGCGGCTGCACCACCGTCAGGTAGCCTGGGGGCCAGCGGCCAGGCGGGGCGGAGGGCCGCGCCATCCGGCGCATCCTCGGCGCCTTGTCGGCGCTGGAATGCCACCGCGGGTAAGAGCCCACGCGGCTGGGGACTGCTCTGACCCTCACCGCCGCACCGTCGCGCGCCGAGGCGTCGGGCGTGACAGGTGCGGAGCCCGCGGCCGCCCTGAGCACGACGACCCAAACATCCTCGCGCCGTGAAAAGATACGGCGGCTGGTTGTCCTACATGCTCATCTTCCCTCCAAGTGGTCTGCTCCGAGGCGGCTCCAAGTGGCCACGGGGGCTTCGCAAGAAGTCCCCCAAGGGGTCCCCCAACAGAGCCCAATAGGTTCCCAGGAGAGCCCCCAGAAGGGCTCCAGATCGTCAGCGTCGTCGACGTAGCCGCCGCCGCAGTCGTCGTCATCGTCGTCGTCGTCCCCCTTCAGGGTCGGCAGCACTGGCCGTAACGCCTTCCCAGTATAGTCCTGCCTATACGACCACCCTTCGGGTGACAAGAAGGTTCGGAGGAGAGGGAAACAACGTCCCACTCGATCGATCTCACTATCGATTACACGATCGAAGGCACAATCGATCTCACTCGAACGATCCCACTATCGACCTCACTTTGGCAGCAAGCGAAGGGGAGAAGTGAGAAGGAGAAGGCCTTCTCAGAAGGCGGCGGGACTTCTCAGAAGCCCTCGCACCTTCTGAGAAGTTTTCTGTGGTTTCGGGGTAAACTTTGAACAGTTCTCAGAAGGCCGGGCGACTTCCGAGCCTTCTGAGAAGGCCGACCCCTTCTCACTTCCCCCCTCGCTCGCCGCCGATCACTATTGATCCCACTATTGCTCACACGATCGATCTCACGATCGATCTCATTATCCCCCTCACTATCGATCTCACGATCTATCCCACTATCGATCTCACTATCGACAGCACGGTTGATCTCACCCGTTCGACCTGACAATTGATATCATGGTCGATCTCACAATCGATCTCACTATCGATCCAACATGTCGATCTCACTATCGATCCGATGGTCGATCTCACTATCGATCTCACTATCAATGTCGATCTCATTCGTCCGATCTCACGATCGATCGCACAATCAATCCCACTATCCCTCTCACTATCAATATCACGAGTGATCTTTTTTTGGGGGGGGAGAAGATGGGAGCGACCGCATGATTCAAGAACCACCGTCGTAACGCGAATGCCCAAATTCGTGTCATTTGGTTCCGTGCAGTGCACGGCGGAGAAAATAAAACGCACCCAACGGAGCAACGCTCAGGCCAACCTGCGATAGGCGAGCCGTCGCGCGCATTGGCAACAATATGCAACTAACGGGACAAGAATACGAGGAGGGAGAGGGGGAGAAGCAGGAGGGAGGGAGGGAGGGAGGGAGGAGAACTGCACAGACGGAGCCAACATCAGGAGCTGGTTTACGCCACAGCTTAGGAGAACACTCTCCGAACAAAATGTGGTCCTATGCACGCCGATCGTCCTTGCACTATGTGGACGATGCTGGAGTGAAACGCCTGCCACTGCGCACCCGGGTCGAGGACTGTGAATGACCACGAATACTCGCACAATGCACTGAGAGGGGCCGGAGGAGGAGGAGGAGGAGGAGGAGGAGGATCGATTTCACCATTGATGTCACTATTGATGTCACTGCCGATTTCACTATCGATATAAATGTCGATATCACCAGCGATTTCACTACCGATCTCACTAGCGATCGCATGTTCGGTCTCACTATCGATCTCCCTACCGATGTCACTATCGATCTCAGTATCGGTAATACTATCGATCCCACTATCGACGTCACTATCAATATCACGATCGATATCACTATCGATCTCACAATCGGTCTCATTATCGAGACCACTATCGATCTCACGATCGACCTCACTATCGATCTCACTGTCGACCCCCCAAACACCACGGAACACGGCGCCACGCGACACCACGGGCCACCGCAGGACACCACGGGATACCATCGGGACACCACGGCGGGACATCCCCGGCCACCGCCGGACAACCGGTGGGATTGGGGGGCGGTCCTTTGGCCTGGCGGCGCCCTAGCAAGTGAGTGTTCACCCCTCTCGCCTGCACACGCAGCTTCGCCTCGCCCGCACGCGCGACACAAACACGAAACCGAAACCGATTCCCAAGTGGGGAGCTCTCCGGGTCACTGTGATCTCACCCCCGCACCTCCGATTCCATCCGACAGCCCATCCCAACGTGACCCATCATCCTCACGAACCCCGCCACGCACGAATACGGCACCTGTTCAGCCATAACGTGAACAATTCTCTCCACCACGCGGTGGACTTGACGTTTTGCGCAACGCAGTCTTGACATCTTCTCGGAGGACCTGGCCATAAATCGTACCTATACGACCATCCTTCGGGCGATAAGGTATTCGTATGATGGGGGACGAAACAACGTCTCATTCGATCGATCTCACAAGCGATCCCACCATCGATCTCACGACCGCTCTCGATACCTATATCACGACTGGTCTTACTGTGTAGGTATCACTCGAACAATCTAATCTTATCGATTCACTCTGGAGATCTCACGATCGATTTCACAATTGATCTCACTATCGATTTCACTGACGCTCTTTATTCGGCCTCACTGTCGATCTCACTATCGATCTCACCGCGGGAGACAGACGGGTCACCAACAGGACACCGACGGGACACCGACGGGACACCAACGGCGCATCAACGGGACACCGACGGGACACCACGGCGGGACAAGGACAGGACACCAACGGGACACCGACGGGACATTGATGGGACACCCCGGGCCAACGCGCGCCGGGGGGAGGAGGGGCGGACAACCAGCTCCACGGCACCTGGCCACGGCGGCCTCATTCCTCTCGCGCGTCCACGCAGCTTCGCCTCGCCCGCGTGCGCGACACGAACACGAAGTCGGCATCGATTTCCCGGTGGGGGGCTCTCCGTTCCACTGCGATTTCACCCCCCAACCTCCGATCCAGCTGCGCTGCCGCGCAAGTCCGCCACCGCGCTCGGGCAGGCGCGGGGGAGGGGAACTTAGGGGAGGATGCGAGGAGGGGCCACGAACCCCTCCTTCTCCAGGCTCTGTATTCGGGACCAGCTTCTGCCTAGAAAGGCCCTAGAACACAGGGACTTGGCCACACAAATGAACGCGCATCTTGGGCTCGGAGAGTCGGGAGGCCCTGGTCCCAACAGCCCTTCGGGCGAAAGTGTTCTACCGAGTTCTTTCTTTCCTCCTTCCAAGCCCCTTTCCTTCGTGGAGGGGTACCCTCCCCCATCCCGTCTCTGAGTTTGTGTGTTGGGGGGGAGCGCAAGGCGGCAGTGCCCTGTTCAGCCCAAGATGGCCTCCAAGGCGGCTCCAGATAGCCACGGCAGCTCCAAGGTAGCTTCCGACATACCTCCAAGAGGCCCGACGAGGACCACAATTCGGTCCCAAGTGCCCTCGGAGCCCCCTCAGGACCCCATCCAAACACGTAAGGAAATCAATGATCCCTACCTTCTCGCCATTTCGCTTTCGATGCGCTTTTGAGGCCTCAAGATTACCCCAACATGTCCCACCAGAGCCCCAAAGCGGGCCGAAGAGGCCCGCCAGACGGTCCCAACCAAGAACGCCTAAGAGCGGCACAAGAGGGGCCTAAGAGGCGATTTTGAGGGCGCCAGAGGGGGAGGGCGGGGAAACTATGAGTCCCCCCCTCCTTTGATCGAGGCCCTGCAAGACGGCCCGAAGAGGCCTTACAGGGCCCCCAAGAGGGCCCCAAGAGTCCAAGGGCGCCCAAGAGCGCCCCAAGAGCGGCCCAAGAGCGCCCCAAGAGGCGGGTTGCCTCCTCCTCCGCCTCCCCTCGCCTCCCCACGGACCCAGGGATGGCCCGAACAGGCTCCCAAGGCCACCTCCTTGCTCCTAGGGATCTCTCTGTTCATCCTGGATACCCGTTTGTTTCACTATATATATGCGTCTCTTAGTCCCTGTTTCACGTCAGCTCTGACGAGCCACCGCCGCAGATGGCAGAAACCACACCCACGCACGGTGGACCCTCCCAAAGCAGCCACCACTCCCATGATCTGGGTACCCGACTCCTGCCTCAGCAGGGGAGGGTACAAGTCGTGGGGATGGTGGCTGCTAGGGGGGGCTTCCTTTGTGCAGGGGGTGAGGCAAATCTGCCATCTACGTTGGCGATCGTGGCCGGTGCTGCCTCGCGCCACCGCTGGGGGAGGGCCCAAACCTCCCTCAAGCTTGGTGGAAACCCCCAGGGCGGCCACGAGGCCGACGTGCTGGGAACCCTACGCCTGCTTGCAGGCGAGGGATTCCGCCGTCGTCCTCTGGAACGCATGTGGGGGTTCCTATGGGCAGGGGAAGAGGCCCTTGGGCCCTTCCCCGCTGCGAGCGGCAACTCTAAGTGGGCCCCGCGGAATAGTTTCCGCGCCACTACTTTGAGCCTTTAAACCTCCGCCGCCACCTCCACCGCCGTTTCACTAATTTTTGCTACCGCCTGTCTCAGCCCTCTACGCGCCTCTTGCCACCAGGGCAACCAGCCTCTTGCCGCCAGGGCAGCCTCGCCGCCAGGGCAACCTGCCTCTTGCCACCAAACAACCTGCCTCTTGCCGCCACGGCAACGCGCCACCGCCTGCAACCGCTACCCATGCGGGAATACACAAGGGCACTTCAGACGAGTGGGACCCTGGGCGCTCTCCAGGGCGCTGGACCCAAAGGGCCGGTAGACCAGAAGGAGAGAGAACCCAGCACTGCCACAAGAAAACATTGCCCCTAGGCGACCCGCCCACCTTTTCACTACCGCCACGCCATAGACTTGCTGCTGCCACCTTTCACTTTTCTTCCTTTCCTCCTGAGGTTTCTACCTCTCCTCCTCCCTCCCTCCTGTTCTGCGGGGCCCAGACCCCTAATATTGTCTTTTGGTCTACTCCCCCAGGGAGGCCCGACCGGGCCTCCTTGGGGGACGCGGCAGCGTTCGAAAAACACCAGTGCCATCAGCGTCCCAGCGTCTCAGGAGGAGGAAGACGACGACGACGACGACGACGACGACGACGACGACGACGACGACGACGACGACGACGACGACGACGACCGCGACGACGACGTCGTCGTCCTCCTTTTGACTTCGCGCGAACTCGAGCCAATGTGCTGTAGCGCTCTGTGAGACGAGCAAGATACTTGCCGACGTAGGCATAGCTCGACACATTAAGCGCGGTCAGCGCAGCCTCCTCCTCCTCCTCCTCCTCCTCCTCCTCCTGCTCCTGCTCCTGCTCCTCCTCTCCTCCTCCTCCTCCTCCTCCTCCTCCTCCTCCTCCTCCTCCTCCTCCTCCTCCTCCTCCTCCTCCCCCCCTCGCCCTCCTCCTCCTGCTCCTCCTCCTCCTCCTCGACGACTCCCGCGGGCCTGCCGCGCGCATCGTGAGGGCGGCGTCGGTGTCCTGCGCGCCCGGCGGGGGGCGGAGAGCGCCGCAAGGGGCCTGCGAGGCGCAGAGGGCAGAGCAGGGCTCGTGCTAGGCAGTGCTTTTCGTTTTCGTGCTGCTTTCGCGTTCTTCGTTGAGACGAAGCCAGGACGAGGACGAACTCGGGTGAGGATACATCGAGCATCTCTGCGATGATTCGAGCATCTCTGCGATCTGGTGGCTATGGCGGATGTCTCGGGCGCCGCGGCCTTCTCAGAGCATTCTGGAACGCTATGAGAGCGCTCCGGGACGCTCTGGAACGGATGTATCCCCGTCCTAGCCCCGACTGGTTCGTTGTGTCTTCGTTCTGCCTTTGCTGCGAAACGAGATCAGAACGAAGGTGGTCCACGACGTCACCAACACACCGCTTGGCTCGAGCCCTGGGGCAGAGGGTACCTGCTGCCTGTGGTCAGGCCAGTGGATGGGCTCTTCTTCGCCCCTCTCATCCTGAGGCGAAACGTTGGGGGGGGCCGACTCAGAGGGGAGGGTACCTGCGAGGAGGGGCTAGCGGCTAGACCGCCGAGCCTCGATTCCTCGATCCCTCGACCCCTCGATAATCGAGCCTCGACTCCTCAACCCTCGACTCCTCGAACCTCCACCCCTCGAACCTCGATCCCTCGATCCCTTGACGCCTCGATCCCTCGATTCAGGGGGAACCATGAGGCGGCACCGGCTCTCAAACATCGGCCTGGCATCGGCGATGCATCGCCGATAGACTGGCGAGAGGCGCCCGACCGCGAATCCGAACGTCCCTGGACGGGGTGGGCTTGCAGGTCCATCATCTGAAGGAGGCAACACGCCATGATCATCAACTGTTGGCGCTCCGCGCGGATTTCTTGGATCCGCGTCGGACCCCCCTCCCTGGCGCGCGGAGCGCGCCAGGGGCGGCGCCTGATGCGCCGCGGGGGGGCCCAGCGCGAAGCCAAGATATCCGCGCGGAGCGCCAAAAGTTTATATCCATTGGCTTTCTCATCTTCAATATCGGCAATCAGAATGGGCGATCGGGGTTCGGTGCGTCCCCCTCTGAGCCGATCGCCCCCATGACGTTGCCCCCCGAAGAGGGAGGAGAGAGCCCTGGCGAGGAGGCACACACACACACACACTCGAGCTGCTCGGGGGGCGGCCCCGTGCACATGCAGAGGAGAGCACCCAGGGCACCTCCACTTTTACGACGAGGCACCCGAACGAGGCGAGGAAGACTGTGCACACCAGCAGGCCCGTCCACGAGCGCGTCACCAAGACCCTGGCGAGTAGGGGCGGCCCTAGAGGCGTGGGCGGGGGGTGTGGGGGAGGGGGGGACGGCCAAGACCAACCCGGGGCCCCCGTCGCGCGCCCCGAGAAACCAAGCCACCGCAGGGACATCTGGGCCCCAGCTCGCTGGGCGTCGCTTAATGGGAGGGCGGTCCATAAGGGGGGGGCAGAGCGAGGAGCACTTCTCGGGCCCGAAAGGCCACCTTTGGGCCCTGAAGGGCCCTTTTAAAAGGGGCCCTTTTCTGCGGCCCTCGCTGCCCCCTCACTTGTTGCCATCCCATTCGGCGACGCCCAAACTCGGTCTCAGGAAGCCCCCGCTTGGCCACGGGACCGTCTTTCTCTGTCCAGCGCCAAAGCAGCCGAGCCAGGTTTTACCAAATTCTCTGGTCCACTTACAAGTACTCTGGTCCGCATTCGTTTGATCCAGAGCGATATTCATCCCGAACGACGTTGCGCCAAGAGGGCCAGATGATCCACTGGTGCAGCTTGCATGCCGTTCTGTCTATGCTATACCAGTTGGTGCTAACTGCCAGCCAAGAAGCGAATCGAACGATAAACCGAACAGCGGTGCAGGTCCATGCGGGCCTCGGGACCGTCAGCTGACGCCTCGGGATGAAGCAAATGCCCCCTGAATGTGAGCCGCGCCGTGACTTTCACCATGGCGTCGGAGGTCTTGGAGGGAGGAGCAGGGAGGGAGGGAGAAGGGAAGACGGGAGGGAGGGAGGGAGGGGGAGGATGGAGGGCGAAGGAAGGACAGTGGAAGGAGGGAGCGAAGGGGAGGAAAGGGGCGGGGAGGAGGGAGGTGGGAGCAGGGAGGAGGAGGGAGGATGGAGGAGGGAGCAGGAGAGAAAGACCGTGGCTGACAAGGAGGCTTCCAGCCGCCACCGGGCTACACGAGGCAGTCTGGAGCGGCAGCGGCCACCTCCCAGGGGGGCTCTCGTCGACGGCACTGCCTGCTGGGTGGGGCCCAAGGCAACGCAGCCCCCCCTCGGAGAGAAGAGGAGCTACTCACGAAGAGTGCTGACACGATCACGATCAATGCTGTTCTGGCCGTGCACGGTTCGCTGTCCCCCCACTGCTCTCCCCCCACTCGGGTGCGCGGCGACTGATCGCTTTCAGCGCCAGCCTGAAGCAACACGAGGCACGCTAACCTTGGAGCGCAGCCCAAAGGACCTCCCTCTCGCTCCCGGCCCTGACCCCCGAACTGGCCGAGGAACTGGCCGACCCGCTCCACCCTCGGGAGTGCCAGATCGCTGAGTTCGCCGCCACACTGCGATCCTGCCCCTCCTCCCCTCCTCGGCGTCACTTTGTCTCCTCCGTCTTCCCCCCTCCTCTGCATCCTCCACATCCACCTCTTCTTCATCCTGCTCTTGCTCCTGCTCCTGCTCCTGCTCCTGCTCCTGCTCCTGCTCCTGCTCCTCCTCTTCCTTCAGCGCTGAGACTCAATCCCTGGGGATGGGTTGATGGCCAAGGCTCCCCCCCAACAGCCCGCCCTGCACCTGACCGCAAAATCGAGCCCACTCGGGCCCACTCCCAGTATACGAACCGCGATGTGGAAGGGCGGGCCCGGGCTCGATGATCACGTGGGAGAGGGAGAGGAGACCTGAGGCTCGACGACGCAGGCTGCGGCATCAATCATCAACGCCTTGAAGCTCGAAGATTGATGAGGAGGATGGAAGGTTGAGCTTAATTATGGGGCCCTTTGGGGGGGGTCAGGAGGCGTCCTCTGGGTGACAGTGGCCCTGCGGGAGGAGAGGGGGCGGGCGGAGCCGGACGCTTCCTCGAAATATGCCGGGGCGAACTGCGGGTCGAAGAGGCCTCCGCTTCCGCCAGCGTCGGCAAGGCGACAGAAACGAAGATACGCAGAGAGACCGAAAACACAAAACGAGACGTGATGAGACTGAGATGGCAACCCAGACTGGGAGACCCGCAGAATACTGGTGCGCCAAGCCGGCCCAAGGCCAGCGCAATTGGATACCACCGGGGTTCGTGCACCCCCTGGCACTGTGAGGCGGACGATGATCAGGGGGCAGCTCGACCTGGGACTGTGAGACCCCATGGGCTATCCATCGCAGACTCGCGGACCTGGCACGCCGTGGGGGGGGGCACGGCAGGCCCGGGGCCCGAAGGGCGGGACCCGATGGGTACCAGCCGCAGTCCCAGCACGCCAGGGGCAGCTGCGGTCGGGGCCTCGTGGGTGACCTCGGCAAGCCACGCAATCGGCCTAGACGCCTAAACCCACGAGGCGGCGCGACAAGGGCGACCACCGCGACCCTGACACGCGGCATTAATGGGCAACCAGCGGTGGCGTCGAGGCGGCGTTCGCCAGAGGACGAGAAGCGCAACCCTGACCCTGAGCGCGAACCCTAAACACTGACCTTTGCCAGAACCCACCCGACGCGCCGACGAACGCCTCGTCCCGCCACCTCCGCACCCTCCGCCGCCCTCGGGAGCCTGGCACAGCGGGGGGCAGCCAGGGCCAGGAGGGCCCCGCTTGGGCGGGGCCTTGCAATATGGGCAACCACGGCAGCCGCCGTTGCCAAGGGTCGGCTCGGACGCAAAAGGAGAGCTTGTTCAGCAAGGTGGGTTGACGAATCAGCTCACTGGCCCCGGAGGCGTCAATGCATCGAGGCCAGCGCACAATGGCGAACCCGAAGCCAGCCGCATGCAACAGATTCGTCTGTCCCCCCTTCCCCAATCCCCCCCCCTTCGTCCGACCCGAGAGGGGTAGTGAGGCCTGGGACGGGCGTGCGCCTGCGCAGCCCCGGCTGAGGATGTCAGCGGCCTACAACACGACACAAGAAGGGCCCCTTCGTGCAGGCTCTGCGCTTGGGGGATCTGCGGTCGAGTGCCGCGCGTGCGAGCCCGGGCCCACGAAGCACGGAAGCGGAGGGGGGCAAGCAGCTGAGCTGAAACTGGCAGGCAGATTCGACACAGCAGTCGGGCACGTCAGCAGGGCGCAAGAGATGACTACCTACCAGACCACCCCAACCCAACCCGAGGACCCGACTTTCGGGCTGGGGGGAGTAAGGGTTCCACACGTGTTTTTTCTATGTTTCCCGACCCCCCCCCCCACACTGGAAATCGAGGGTAAATCTGAGCCGTCGGGTTGGGCTGGGGTGGCTTGGTGGGTGGTGAAGAGAGGGGTGCGAGGCCCTTGGGCTCCCACCTGCTCGAAAATTTGGCCAGCGGCGCTGGCTGGCCGCTGGCCACGGCCGCGAAGGCAGAGCACGTCATGCTTGTCGAGGACACACGCCCACACTTATGCCGGGCGTGTCCCCCTACAGGGGGATTCTCGACGAAAAAAATACTCCCCAAAATTGTAAAAAAGGTCAACAAATATTCAATGCATAGTCCCCTGACTATTTTTGGATTATGATTTGATTATGTTTGGGGTATTGTTTTATCTTTCATCGAAAACCCCCCTGTAGGGGGGCAGGCCCGACTTAAACCTACACACACACGCACACACACGCACTCGCACACGCACACACACACACACACACACACACACACACACACACACACACGCCCACACACACGCCCACACGCCCACACACACACACACACACGTGCGCACGCGCAGAATCTGCGGCGTCCTCCAGGACTGGAGCTCTACGGGCGGTTTCAGGGGCGGGAGCATCCAACGTCGCTGCCTGTGGGAGGCGCTGCACCAAAAACCTGCACGCGACACCATGCCGTTTGTTCAGGCCTCTGGCACGACAATCAGAACACTCCACACACCAACGCCTACAATCGCATCTGGGCTCAGACTTCATTGCACCGCTACACGCGAATCCGTGCGGTAAACGTGCACACGGAAGGAACCACATAGGATCGGGCTGATTAGTCATCGCACGTGGCTGCTGTGCAAACGCAGAGTATGTCGTCGTGGTTCTCCCTCGTTTCAAATACCGATAAGACCGACCAGAAGCCTATAATTCGCCAGCCCAACGGACCAAGGGCGTGCGAAGATCTCGTGCAACTGGTTAACAGTAGTTCTAACTCGCGCGCGAGGGGCCGCCCCTGGGGGTCCCCGGACGAAAAGTACCCCCGCAAGGTCCTGGCAAAACCCCGGCGAAGTCCAGGCCAGGTCCCAGCAGGCTCCCAAGAGCGCTCCAGGAGCGCTTCAAGCGGCCTCAAAGAGAGTTCAGCATGGTCCGAGACGGTCCAGGAGCGATCCAAGACGCCAGAGATAGCCTCCAGACAGCCCAGAGCGCATTCGAGACGCCCCAAGAGGCCTCCACAGACTCGAGACCCCCCACGAGGGCCCGCAAAGGCAGAAATTAGCGATTTTCCATTAGTTTGTGAAGGTGTTTGGCGTTCTCGCCTTGTCGGCTTACCAGGGCTGTCAGACGGCCCAAGAAGGTTCCAGGATCGCCCCAACACGGCCCAAAAGGCTCCAAGAGTGCCCAAAACGGCCCAAGAGGGCCCCAAGACAGTCCCAGAGGCTTCCAAGATGGCCCCAAGACGGCTCCAAGAGCGGACCCCGACGGGGGACCCGAACGGGCATTTGGAGCTCTAGGCGCAGAGAGGTCCCCTGGAGGCCCCAAGAGGCCCCCGAGAAGCCGCCAGAAGGCCCCTGAGAGGCCCCAAGAGGCCCCCACGAGACACCAAGGATATCACAAACATACCGCCACGAGGCCCGCGAGAAGCCTCCCAAAGACCCCAAGCGACTCCCGAAGAGGCGCCTTGTCCATGACCAGTTTCGCCCTAAGTTGACGAGCGAAAAGATTACATAGAATCGGGGGTGGAACCAACAAAGGAACAAACATCAGAACAGCCGTCTCAATCCATTGAACAACCTCTATCTGTCCAAGCTCCCCAAACAATGTTCGCACCTAGGGCTTCTTGCTTCTTTCCTAAGAAACTGGAGCTGCGGGCCACTCTGGCCTCTATGCAGCCGCCGTCGCCGCCGCGTCGCCGCCCGTCGCCGCCCGTCGCCTGGGCCTGCGGGCCACTCTGGCCGCCATGTGGCTGCCGTCGCCGCCTCGTCGCCGCCCGTCGCCTGGGCCTGCGGGCCGCTCTGGCCGCCATGTGGCCGCCGTCGCCGCCTCGTCGCCGCTCGCCGCCTCGTCGCCGCCCGCTTTGCATAGCGTCGCATTGCTTCGCGTTGCTGTGCAGTACTGTGCATTGCGTTGCATTGCTTCCGATTGCTTCGCATTGTTTTGCATTGCGCTGCATTGCTTGGCATTGATTTGCATTGTGTTACACTGCGTTGCTTGTGGTTTGCATTGCTTTGTGCGTTGCACTGCATTAAATTTACTGTGCGTTGGTTTGCGTCACGTTGCGTTGCTTTGCGCTGGCGTGCACGACGCTGCTTTGCATTGTGTTGTATGGCGTTGCGCTGCTCTGCTAATAGTTGCAGGGCCGTGCGTTGCGATGGATTGATGTGCGTTGCTTTGCGTTGATGTGCAGTGCTTTGCATTGCGTTGCATTGCTTGGCATTGCGTTGCAGTACTTCGCACTGATGTGTACTGCGATGCAGTGTTTTGCATTGCTTGCGTTGTGCCACGTCGACTGCACCACATGGTCTGCACCAAACAGGGTATCCCACATTGATTGCACCACCTACACCGCAGCGCATAAATCATGCAAGACAACACTGTTTGGGGTCCACACCGACGAACAGTTATATGTAGACGGTACCCCCCAATTACCCATCTTGACACATGCATGCCCGACGAGCTCCAAATCTCGAGAGTATTAGCGTACTAAGGAATCAATACACTGAACACAACTAGACATCCACACATTCGAACGCACTAAACCGCCCGTGCAATGGACACCCATAGTGCATTCATACAATGGAACCAACCAAAACCACATAGACTTGAACTCACCAAGACATGCATACGCTTAACGCAACACGGAACCCGCATACGTTACAAGAAGACCACACACCTCCATTCAATAACAACAACTTAGAAGTCACCATATTCCAAACACTCACAAGAAACTCCGCAACTTGAAACAAAAAATGAACAAAACGATATAATCACATGCTCCGGCGGAAGGACCCCGCCTGAGAAGCTCCTTAGTGCACGTGGGAGCCATCACCATCGACGACGAACAAATGTGACGATGGCAGGGTGCAAAGATACCAGAATGCGACCTCTGGGACCCTTGTGAAATGTGCGACCCGTGGGGTTTGTTGGGCCTGAGGGGCCTGTGGGGCCTGTGGGACCTGTCAGACTTGCGAGCCCTGTGGGACCTGTGAAACGTGTGGACTTTACGAGTCCTGTGAGGCCTACAGGACCTGCAGGACCCGTGAGGCATGTGGGACCACTGGGGCCCATGAATTTTGTGGGACCTGTTCGACCTGTGAACCCGATGGAACCTTTTGGTTTCTATGGATGTGTGGGACCTGCGCGACCTGTAAATTTGTGCACGAGGCGAGAGCATCACCGGGACATGTGCAACCTGCGGGGCCACTGTTGGGCCTGTGGGATCTGTGCCGCCTGCCTGTGAAGCCTGTAGGACCTCGCTCTGGCTACCAACTTACAGCGCCAGCCCCCCAGGGAGGGGGCTCACGCTCGAGACTTCCAGTGTTCACTCAGAGACGAGGCCCCCGCCTGAGACGTCATCCTTAGTCCAGTCTCGAAATCCCCGGCGCGATGACCATCACGATACTACTAACACGAAGCCGGCACCCCATAGGGAGGGGGGTCCCGCCTGAGACCTTCGCTCACTTGCAGACGCTGCCCCTGCTCAAGACTTCCTCCATACTCTGGCCTCAGGAGCCCAGCGGCGACTGCAAGTCAAATTTTCAAATAACGCGCCCAGGTTGCTAACGTGGAGCGGGGGGGCCCACAGGG